CAAAAATAGAATTTGTTATATCATATATACTTTTAATTAAAAACACATACACATTAACATATCTGCACACACAAACACACACACGCACACACACACACACACACGCACACACACACATTCATATCAATTTGATACAAAAATCTCTAAATGTTCTTAATTAAATGCAGATGTTTCAACATTCTTTTCTCTGCAAACATGTGCTAGCGTTAATCTTACGATGAAAATTTTATTTTGAAACTAGTTCATAATATCTGTTTATAATTAATGCGAACTATTAATTTCAAGGGTTTATAACAGAGTGGGCTAATTACATTTTATGCGGCCCACGAGGTCCTAACCTTACCCTTGTCCGATCAAAAAAAGATCACATTACGACCATAAAAATGGTCGTCAGCCATATATTACAAAATAAAAAAAGTCTAAAAAATTTGCTATTTGAATACATATGTGACCCTTCAAATGTCAAATAGCTCTCAATGCGGCCCTCACAGCTTAAAGTTTGCTCCCCCATGCTTTATATAGTTTTTCATTGTATATAATCATATGTATAATCACTATATTTCAAATAAAAAACGCATGAAATGAATTAAATTTAAGTAAGACGGGGTAAAGTTTTGAAAAACATGTACACAAAGACAAATTTTCAACATGAACCACAGATTCCCCGCTCAAAAGAGGTGCTCAACTTTTAAAAAATCTTTAATAAAAATATATCCACTTGACATTCAGCAATATTGACATTCATTGTCAGTTATTTCCGTCTAGAAGTGCCGGCGATATTTCATACTCGACAGCATCAAAAGTGCTGCCGATGCTCTAAGCCAACATTGAAAAAATTCCACTTAAATACATGCACACATACATACAAACAAACATACATACAAACAAACAAACACACAGATACAGACATACACGAAACAGTTCTACATAATTGGAATTTTTCGAAACAGGTCTCGCATAGAAATGAGTCTGTTTAATTTGTTTTGTACGCTTTCAAATTTGTGCATTAGCCCGTTTCTACTATGTCTGTTCGCTAATTGTTTATATTGCGCCATCATCATAGTCTTCATCATCTTCAACGATATCATCATATCATTTTCCTCATCCTGACAATCATCGTCATCATCGTCGTTATCATTTTCTCAATATATAGACCATTTGGTTATGCTTGAATATGATTACATGTTTATATTACGTTTGTGTATGTGTGTGTGTGTGTATGTGTGTGTTTGGGTGTGGTGTGGGTTTCTATGTTTGTTTGTTTTGTTTGGTACATGATTGCATGTTTGTATATATTGTTGCCTAGTTTAGTCACAATCTTTCATATCCGGCGGCAGAATCAACGTAGTAGTAAAATGGTGAAATGGTATTCCAATGTTTCGGTACAACTGGCACAATTCACTGTTTCAATTCTAAACAAATTCTATATGAGATTTTATTTCAAACCAGTATTTACGTGAACAGTTGCTTCAATTTAAATTTAAATTACTGTCCAAGGCATACACATATACATACATACACATACATACATATACATACACACATACATACATACATACATACATACATACATACATACACACATACATAGATACATACATAGATACATAGATACATGCATGCATGCATGCATACATACGTACTTACGTACATACATAGATACATGCATGCATACATACGTACTTACGTACATACATACATTGATACAAAACAATCATAGATACATACATAAATATACACATACAAATACACATATATACATATATACGTACATATTAGCACATATAGGTATACACAGATACATACATACATTATCATTCGCCTTAGAAAGCGCGCAGTTTTGTGGAGTTAATTCGTTTTGAGTTGAGGTTTGGAATAAAAGTTTAGTTCTTCTAGTCTATATTTGATTCAAATTCAATAAGAAATATTATCAATTAAAGTTTGTTGTCCAATTTTCCTAATAAAATTTAACAAAAGGTAAGAGAGAAAGTCATTTTTTTAATTGAAATGATAGAAATTCTATTACCAGACTTTTTGTTTTTAATGCTTTTATGTGGCTATGCTGATTTCAAATTATCTAGTTATTAATAAATTTATTGAATGTATTTATTTTCTAATTAATTCATTAAAATGTTTTTGATTAAATCATTGTGGATAAATAAATAATATGTGTGTCTTATATTACGAGTCTGCCAGTGAATACGACGCCGTTAATTTCTTTGTTAAAATAATTTTCATTTCGTATTGTTTGCTTTGCGGGTGGTTAATTAAGACATAAAAGGAGACAATTCTGCAGATGATGAAATAACAAAAGGATGCAAATAAAATGTGCATTGCAAAGTTTTATTAAACTTAATAAATAAATTAAATAAATTTAAATAAGTAAAATTAAATGAATGTCACAGAAGTTAATTTTTTAAGAATATGAATTTATCCGTCATAATTTTTTCTTGATTAAAATTTTAATAAACAAAGGAATTCAGAGATAAAAGAAACACACACAAAAACATTAAATAATTACTAACAAACCACACACACACACACACACACACACACATACACACACACACACACACACACACGCACACACACACACACACACACACGCACGCACGCACACACACAACTTTTGCGTTCGTTGGCATTGCTAACAGGAACTTATTTGATGTGACTGTGGCTTATAAAATAATTATTATAATTATTATAATTATAATTATGATAATTGTTTGTAACATTTTCACTCAAGAAAACAAGCAAGCAAGCAGACACACTAAACACACACAGACACACATACACAGACACCTTACACATACACACAAATACCTCACACATACACATCACACACACATACACACTCATACAAACACACACACGTCACACATACACACATACACGTCACACATGCACACACACATACACACTAGAAATTACACGTTTATTTCTTTCTATGGCTAACTAGTGCATTGGGTTTTGTTGTAACAAACATCAATCAGACGTGTGAGGAAACAAACAAACACATTAGTGAATGAATGAATGAATTATTTAATTAATTAATGGATGAATGAGTGAGTGAATTAAGGAATAAGTGAAAAAATTTATCGAATTAGGAGTTCCTACTGAAATTTAATTGTTTAAAGTATTTGTTGTGTTACAAATATACATAACTATGTTTGTCTGTGTGTGTGTTTGTGTGATTTAGTATGTGTGTGTATGTATGCGTGAGTGTATGCGCGTGTAATTATTTCTAATATAATTCAACCATTTATACTTGAATTAAATACGAACGTGTGAAAGTTCGAACGGAGTTGAACCAAGTGTCAAAAAGGTAGAATAAAACATCGGAGTTCTGTGTTACGATCGTTATTAACTTGGTATTCCTTTTATAGGCAAATAAACATGGGATGAAAAAAAAGCTATGAAGTCGCTCTGATCTGAATGATCAAACAGACGTGCAAACAACATATACAGACATACAAAAATACACACATACAAAAATACACACATACAAAAATACACACATACAAAAATACATACATATAAAAATACACATGTCTACAGTAAGTACAAGTATTCATACATAATGGAATATTGTAAAATAATTTTAAGATGAAATAATAATAGTAGTGATGAAATAGCATTTGAATAATAAATAAAACAATAGTAGAGTCATTTTCATGAGTAGGAAATTTTTATAGAACTTTGGGAGGAAAATGGTAATTCCAAAGTTTCCAAAACCGGGCCATAGATTGCTAAGCGTGTGTGTGTGTGTGTGTGTGTGTGTGTGTGTGTGTGTGTGTGTGTTGCACTATATGTAGCATGTAGGTATGTATGTACATAACAAATCTACGTACAATATATATTTCACACTACGTGATTTACTACATGTTTGCATGCTATATCACATCTAAAGTTTCAGAATTTTGGTATGTGATTGTGTGTTTGTGTATATGTGATTGTGTGCGTGTACGTGTGTGTGTGTGTATTTGAATTTGTACAAGCACTGAACTGAGATGGTTTGGCGTACACTGAACTGACATACACGTATTCGAGATGCGGCAGATATTATCACGAGAAATAAAAGTTTGCGTGTTGGGTTGTTGTTGCTGGCTTTTGTTGAGTTAACTTATGCGTTAAAATACATTTCAATGTAGGTAGTTAGTTAAATTAAAATGTGATTGTGCTATAGACCACAGCGCATAATATCATTGATATCTGTCATTGAGATGTTGATATCTATCATTGAGATGTTGATATCTATCATTGAGATGTTGATATCTATCATTGAGATGTTGATATCTATCATTGAGATGTTGATATCTATCATTGAGATGTTGATATCTATCATTGAGATGTTGATATCTATCATTGAGATGTTGATATCTATCATTGAGATGTTGATATCTATCATTGAGATGTCAGTCCTTGAATGTTTGATAGCCATTTGAGATATCAGGCATAAGTTGTGCTGTTATTAATTATTATTATATGCGAACACTGCCAAATAGCGAGATATAATATATGTTTGCAAACAAACGAATTTTTAAACGAAACAAACCTACAAACACACTTGCAGGCAAAAACAGTCTAGCAAAAAACAGTGCTTGTGTTATCTAGTGTTAATAGAATGTAAATTCAATGATAACACTGGTCAACACCCAAAAAATTTCCTAAGGTCTTTCGGCTAATTTATGGAAATTTTGATGTCCTGAATCCAAATATCACATTGGTTTTTCTAGATCAGATCAACTTTCTAAGCTATGGCCATATCTTCATTTTCACTTTTTTGTGTACAGTCCCAGGTATTTTCGCTGTATGTGATGCTTTGTTCTTAATCACTTCATCACTATGAGGAATTTGCAATTTTTAATTAATTGGTATTTTTATGTTTCCCCTATGCACACACACACACACACACGTTCAATGCATTAAATCACGTAACTACAGTCACGTGATCAGACAATCGCAGATATGCCCGGACGAGGCTGTGTATAACTATGGATAGTTACGTCAGCATTTTCCAAATCTGAGCCATATAGCAGATTGCATTAGTATAGGTATCAGTTGCAAACGAATCGCAAGCGAACGACATGGCTTCCAAGAGAAGATCTTGTAAAAATAAACCCGACGTATTTTGCTATATCTGCGGTGAATACACACTTGTTCATAACAGGAATCAAGTCATATGTTTCATAAAGCGTGCTTACCATGCTTATTTTGGTATTAAACTTGGTGACCAGGATAAAGATTGGGCGCCACACATGGTATGCAAGGCTTGCACCGTGTATCTGCGTCAGTGGACCAAGGGCAAGAAGACGTGTCTGAAGTTTGGAATTCCCATGGTTTGGCGGGAGCAGAGAAACCATGACACTGACTGCTACTTCTGTAGCATCGATCTGACTGGGATAAACAGAAAGAACCGAAGCAGCCTCGAGTATCCTGATTTGCAATCCGCACGTCGTCCTGTAGCTCATTGTGATGATATTCCAGTACCTGTGTTTCACAAACTTCAAGACATCAGTGATGACGAATCCTCCAGTGATGAAGATCTGGAAACAAAAGAAGAATGGCCAGTTGTTGACGATGAAACTCCACAGCTTTTTTCCCAACAGGAGCTAAATGATCTAGTTCGCGACCTCAGCTTGTCAAAGGCCTCTGCTGAACTGTTGGCATCCAGATTGAAAAAAAAAACCTCCTCTCTGGCTGTGCTCGCATCACCCTGTACCGCAACAGGCATCAAGAGTACCTCCAATTTTTCTCGGAGGTGCAGGACTTGGTGTACTGCACAGATATTGCACAGCTTCTGCACCACCTGGGAGTGCCGCAGTACAAGCCCGAAGACTGGAGACTGTTCATTGACAGCAGCAAGCGGTCACTGAAATGTGTTCTACTGCACAACGGCAACCAGTTTGCCTCTGTGCGCCTTGCTCACTCTACTAAACTGAAGGAGAAGTATGAAGCGGTGAAGTATGTGCTGGAGATGATTCGTTATGATCAGCATAAGTGGGTTATTTGTGTCGACCTGAAGATGGTGAATTTTTTGTTGGGGCAACAATCCGGGTTCACCAAATACCCATGTTTTCTGTGCATGTGGGACAGTAGGGACACTGCTCACCATTACACGAAGAAGGACTGGCCTGTGCAAGAGGAACTAGTGCCTTGCAGAGCAAGTAACGTTATCAACAGCCCTCTGGTGGACAGAGACAGGATACTCTTCCCACCACTGCACATCAAGCTTGGCTTGATCAAGCAGTTCACAAAAGCTCTAGACAAGGAAGGTGGCTGCTTCAATTACATGTGCCAGACATTTCCGGGAGTAACCATAGTGAAGTTAAAAGCTGGTATCTTTGACGGTCCTCAAATCCGTCGGCTCATCAGAGATCCAGAGTTTGAAAAGTCAATGAACAAAGTGGAACAGGAAGCATGGAATGCTTTTGTTCTCGTTGTGAAAAACTTCCTTGGCAACAACAAGGCCAGAAACTATGCTGAACTTGTCAACAATATGGTGACTGCTTTCAAAAAACTCGGATGCAACATGAGCATCAAACTGCATTATCTATTTTCACATATGGATCGTTTTCCTGAGAATCTTGGATCAATGAGCGACGAGCAGGGAGAGAGATTCCACCAGGAGATGAAGGAGATGGAGACCAGGTATCAGGGACGTTGGAATGCCGTCATGATGGCTGATTACTGCTGGACTCTAAAGAGAGACATCCCTGATGCTGAGCATTCCAGGGTATCCAATAAACGGAAGTTCCAGCCCTAAATTCTTAACAATGACGAACATTAATGACCCTTACTTAAGGTACTGTGTTTCAGAACGCTTTTTTCTCTTTGAAACCAATTCCGAATGAGAAATAAACCGATTATGGCACAAAAATTTTACTGATTTATTCACAAATAAAATAAAATAAACATTTAACTTAGCATTTTCGGACTCAGCGGTGCCAAATTATCATAAATCAGTTGTAAAAAATTAGGAAATTTCCTCAAAAATTTTTTTTGTTGCTCAGTGTAATTTATGATAGTTTATGTTAATTAATTCCTCTACGTACACTATACTAATACATTACATTAACATTGCAGATAACAACGATGTCAGGATCAGTCAAGTGTCTTCAAGTCTTCGTTGCCCTGCTATGCATCGTACAATTTGTGAGTTTGTGTGTGCGTGTGTGTGTGTCAGTTTGCGTGCGTGCGTGTGTATGTGTGTCTGTTTGCGTGTGTCCCTGTGTGTTTAAAATAATTTTTATTCTTCTTTATATTATTGCTATTGGCGTTTATATTTTGCTTTTGTTTTTTGTTGTTTATGTTATTTTTAAGTTTGTTTGTTTGTGCGTGCGCGAGTGTGTGTGTGTGTATTTTATGTAAATGTATGTGCGTGTGTGTGTGTTATATTTCAAACTATGAACATTTTTTGTTTTCTCTACGCTGGTTCATTGTCACACGATTTCGTCTTACGTCATAAATAATAATAATAATAATAATAATAATAACAATAATAATAACTTTTATTGTCATCATCATCATCGTCGTCGTCGTCATCATCACCTGCTTCGTCATCATCGTAATCACTTTTGTCACATCATCATCACTATCGTTACCAGTATTATTATTATTATCATTATTATTATTATTATTGTTATTATTATATCATTGTCACATCATAGATATTATATAATCACTATCATGATCTATCATCCTATCATCATCGTCTTCTTGACTATCATCATCATCATCCTCATCCTCCTCATCATAACCACCACTATCGTCTACTTATTTCCATTATCATCATCATCATCATCATCATCATCATTATCATCATCATCATCATCGTCCACTTTTTCAACATCAACATCAAACATCATCGTCGTCATCTCTGTACCTTAGTTATTAACTTTTAATTATTTATTTAAGCCCTTAGTTAAGAAGACTTGTCTTCATCTTTAATTATTACAATAGTTTTCCTTTCACAAAGTCTTCACACATATTACTACGGCTGGACTTGGTACAATTTTTACTGATTATACGTAACGATAATAATAGCATTAATTATAACAATAATAATAATTACAACAACAACAATAATAATTGTTATTATTGTTTATGACAGCAATTTTTAATTTTGTTATTGTTTTCCAGCGTTAATTGGTGAATAAATTTGTTGAGAAATTGTCTTGAACTTTACAATAAGGTGAAGGAACAAAGAATAAAAAAAGAGCGAATAATTCTCTCTCTCTTTTTCCTTTCTCTTTCTTTTTCTTTTTTTTTTCTCTCTCTCTTTCCCTCTCTCTCTTTATTCTTTTTTTTACCGCGTTGTTTCATATTGTAGCTATTACACATAACGGCAACTTCCACTCGCGCGCGCATGCAATGCAAAACAGATGTTCGAGAACACGAACAAAGGACGAAAAACATAAAATTATCGATTGTGGTATCGATCGATCTTGTAAATCTCACTTTTTCTTTATGTTGCCAAACAAATTTATCCGAAGTTTGTGGATTTTCTTTAGTTTAAGAACTCACTGCGATGTGTTGGTTCGCGGACATTTTCACATATGTTGTTTGTCCACGATACTTTAGAAAAACTTTGATGAGAAAATTTAAAAAAAAAATAAACTATATTTCTTTTCTGGTCCATTCATTTTCATCAGAATGATAAATTTTCTTAATTAAAACAATGCCTTACGTATTAAACTTCTGAGAAATAATGTTAAACTTTGATACTTGTATTTTTTTTAATACACTCACACTCCTAAGAGTTTGTATGTGGCTAACGACGTTCAATGGTCTTAGATTAGAATGTGCTATAAAACTCTCGTAATCACATGTTTTCTCTCACGTGCTTACGAATTCATTACTATGTCTTCACAAAGACATTTACGCATACATTCACACATGCACACACACACACACATATACGCACACACAAAATCACACTCATTCCCAATTATGTATGTGTTTATAACAAATATAAATTGGACCCTATTTATAAATGCGTTATACCAGCTAGACTTCCATATATTTATATATGGTATACATATATAGTATTCACACACACACATATGCACAAACACACACACATTCACACACATATATACGCACAAACACACACACACATTCACGCAAACAAACACAGAAATACATGTAAAGATATATAATATCTATATGTTCATTATTGCGTAATATCCGTAGCTATCTGTTTTTTATTCACCCTCTTACTCACTCACTCACTCACTCACTCACTCACTCACTCACTCACTCACTCACTCACTCACTCACTCACTCACTCACTCACTCACTCACTCACTCACTCACTCACTCACTCATTCACTCATTCACTCATTCACTCATTCACTCATTCACTCATTCACTCATTCACTCATTCACTCATTCACTCATTCACTCATTCACTCATTCACTCACTCATTCACTCATTCATTCACTCATTCATTCATTCATTCATTCATTCATTCATTCATTCATCCACGCACTCATTCACTCACTGAATCATAAACATTAGACTCTCAAGGGCTCTTAGCAAATGAAAATAATTTTTCTATCTTTTATTATTGCATTTATTATGTAATGCATTAAAACAAATGTAAAACGTTATTACCCCTACCACCCCCGCTACCACTGCTTCTACTACTGCAGCTGTTACTGCTGCTGCTACTACTATTACTACTACTACAGCTGCTACTGCTTCTTTTATCACTACAACTGTTAAAACCATTTAATGTTACCACAACTACTTTTTTGTCCCTGTTGACTTCCGAGAATAAATTAAATGTAATAATTGTTTATTATCATCACATCAACATCATCATCATCACCATCAGGTCCTTGGAATTGTCTTCCTGATTCTGGGAGGCATGGCGTATAAGGAGTCGGGAGCGGGTTTGAATGCACACTCGGCCGCCATATTTTTGTTGGCGGTTGGCTGTTTCATCGTTTTGGTGGCCCTGTTTGGTCTGTGCGGCGCCATCGCTAAGAACTCCTGCCTCTTGATCGTCGTCAGTTTTTTGTTTTTATTAGTAATTATATTTAGTGATATTCCATTTATCTATCCCTCGATCCCTCCATCTATCTATCTACCCATCCATCCATTTTTTCATCTATCTATCTATCTATCTATCTATCCATCCATCCATCCATCCATCCATCCATCTATCTATCTATCTATCTATTCACCCATCCATTTTCTACCCATCCATCCATTCACAGTTCTGCATCTTCATGTCGATCAGTTTGGTTCTCAGCATCATTGTTCTCATTATTGGATTTGCTTTGCCTGGTGCAGTTAGTCCAGTTTGATGTTTATTGGTCATTTGCACACACACACACAAACAGACACACACACACACACAAACACATACACGCAACACACACAGGCTATTGAGGCAGCCAGCCAGGCATTCAATGAGAGTATGAATAACTACAGTAAGGATAATGTCACCAAGAACAGTATCGACATTTTGCAGCTAAATGTGAGTAATCAATAATAATAATAATAATAAAAATGATGATAATGATAATAATTGTTATTATTATTCTATAATAATTATTACTATGCTACATAATTCTTATGAACCATGAAGGCCCAGTGTTGCGGCTACAACGGCGTCGGCGACTGGGAATTGAACTCGGACTTCAAAGACGGGAAATTGCCTATGAGCTGTTGCAGCAACTCTACCTTCACGGCTACTGAGTGTAGTAAGACGTCTGTGAATAAGTACCACTCAAAGGTGGGGTTATGGTAATGATGATGATCATGTTGTTGTTAATGATGTCTTTGCTGATGATAATGATGATGATCATGTTGTTGTTGTTGATATTGTTGTTGATGTTGTTGTTGATGTAAAGGATGATGTTGTTGATAGCGATGATAATGTCGATGATGGTGATGATGATGAACATATACACGAACTAGGGCTGCAAAGAAGTAATTGAAGTTTTATTGAAAGGCATGCTCTATGGCTTCGGCATCATCGCTACCATAACTGCCATTGCTTTGGTATGTATTATTATTATTACTACAAGTTGTTGTTTTATAGTAGTGTAATGGTTAAGGTGCTTGGCACAACATTTGCAGTCACCGCGTTTGAACGCAAAGACACACCAGCCTATCTAATCGTGAATATGGATAAACCATTTATGCATAAACTCAGAGTAAAAATCCGTAATTATAATTGTTAATACTAAATTAACAGTACTATTTTGTTGAAGTACATGTGTATTGTATGGTTTGAAATTGTTGTTATTGTTATTATTATTATTATCGTTATTATTATTATTATTATTATTATTATGTTAGTATAAGTAGGTTAGTAAATGAAGTGATAGTCATTTTTGTTGACGTAATTAGAATATTATTAATAATGATTGATAATATTTTTGTACTTAATTTAATAAAACAAAATATTAAATTTTTAAATTAAACAGTTCCTTACGTTGTTACTGGCATCGATACTAACGAGCAAAATAAGGAAGGAGTACAATCCGGTTTAAATCGCCTCTCAGTCAGTTGTTCGGTCGGTTTAGCGGTTGATAAGAATCGATTGATTTAACCGATTGAATGATTGCTTGATTGATTAACTTGATCGACAACTTATTTACTTATTACCAAATTAAATAATGATCCCCAAGGTATCTTATTTATTTTAATTAATTATTTGGTGAGTTATTATTATTATTATTATTATCGCTACTATTGACGATGGTAATGTTGCTCTTATTGTTCTTATTATTGTTCTTATTATTGTATTATTATTATTATTAAAAATATTATTATTACTATTTAGTATTATTATTTATTATATTTTTATTATTATCATTCTTATAACCGAAAACGCGTTGGTCTGTTGAAGATGATGTTGTTGATGATGGCGATGATGATATTAAAATATTTGTGATATGATAATATCAAAATAATAATAATAAATGATAATGAAAATGATAATGAGAACATCTATAATAATACTAATAGTAATGATAATAATAGCTAACAAACAAAATGCAGAGGAAGACGACGACTGTAATGGGTTGTAATAATCGGCGCAAGAATTAACTTTATATTATTTTATTATTATTATCATCATCATAATAATAATTATTTATATTATTATTATTATTAGCAAAACATGTTATCGACCAATGGATGAGAGATGGGCTTGAGTTTATTCATTCATTTATTCATTCAGCAAGCAAATATGGCGAAGGATTGATTTTTATAAATTAAGAAAAATAAAGAATGAATGTATAAGTCGTATATTCCCATAAAATGGTTATATATTCTATACGCATTTATTTGCTTATTTGATTTTAATTAAAATTTAATTGAAAAATATTGGTAAACCGGCCTATCAATGATCATAACCACGTCTAACTATGTTGTAATAAAGATTCTATTTGTTGAATTGAAATAACTTAGAAGAATTAAATAGTATTATTATTGTTATTAACTGTTATTACAACTAATTTTATTATTTTTTTATTACTTATTGTTATAATTAATATATTTTTTTTAAATTTACGCTCAGCTGTTGATATTTGATAACAATTCAATGCTTGTTTCTATTGCTTATATAATAAATTCCACCGATTTATTTGTGTTTATCAACTTATATTCGAATTTTTCAATTTGTCTTAGTAAATTTTTATCAACAAATTATATATATATATATATATATATATATATATATATGTATATATATGTATATATATGTATATATATATATATATATATATATATATATATATATTTGTATTCTTCCACAGATGCTCAGAATGTGTGGTTTCTTGCTCTTTTAGATATGAGCTCTGCCTTTGATTGTGTCTATCACTCATTACTTGTACGCAAGCTCCAGTATTCTAACTTGACACATGTCGAAGCTGTGTCATACGGTGTCTCACAGGGGTGGGTTCTCGACCCCATCCTCTTTGTGTTGCACACTGTAGCTGTTTACAAAATCATTGAGAGATGTAACTTCAAACATCACGGCTGTGCCGATGATATTCAGACCATTGCTAGTGCTTCCCTTTGTCGTTTTGATGATCTTGTCTCCAGACTCAAATCATGTCTCTGGGAAATTAATGAGTGGATGATGGCAAATAGGCTTAAAGTGAATCAATCAAAAATTAAGTTTTTACCGGTTGGCACCAGGCAGCAATTGGAAAAAATGAACACTGAATCTATCAAACTTGGTGATTTTGATGTCGAGTTTTGCACATCTGCACGCAACCTGGACCATCGTGATCCTGCGTTGTCTTCTGTTATTCAGTTTCGTAAAAGCTTGAAACACCATCTTTTTGTGCACACCTACCCGTGCTAACGTTTTCTTCTCTCCATTCATTGCATTGCCTTAGTACTGTGCTACGCAATGTACTGCAATAATCGTTAGCGCCTCTGAGATCTTTTAAAGGGCACTTACAAACACACCAATAATATATATATATATATATATATATATATATATATATATATACATACGTATATATATATTTATATACATACGTATATATAGATATATTATTGCTTCTATACGTCATTGCTTAAATATCTATTCTATATTCGTCCATATGTATATATAATGATACATATGTTTCCTGTTCAAAATTTGTTAGATCGTTTTTTTAAACAAAGTGAAATTTAATAAATGGAAGCGGTAAATGTAGCTATATTTTATCTATCCAAGCTTTTGTAAGAAATATATAAGTAAATATGTAATTAAATACACGCATACACACACGCACAAACACACACACGCACACACAACATAATTGTTGTTATATTTTAAGATTCAAGTTTCTTCATTATAACAATTAAGCAGTTAAAAAGAATTAATGTTTATATAGGTGATAACACAATGTTAACCTTTCAACTGTCGTCTCCTTATATAACCAAACAAACGAATGCAATGGTGTCAGTCATAGTCGTTGTTACATTATTTTAGTCTTTGAATAAGAATGTAATTTTTTTCCTTGCAATTACTAAATTATGTCACACTATATTTTATTTATATATTTTTTTATAATTAATTATTAAATAAATGAATAAATATATACATATATTCTTACATTTACTTGCTTTCTATGTATATTGTTTATATTTACACATAATTATCTATTCTGGTGAAAAACTTCTCTTGAATAAACGTGGTCTTAACGTGTTTCTGATTAATGAAAAACAAATTATAATTGAAAACACACACAGACACACACACACGGCCACGGCGGCCCTTCAAGCAGCCAAGATGATGCCGGACAATGGAGTATTCGAAGAGCACCTGAGGGTTGAAATGTTTAATTACTGGTGTTCCGTATATGGAAACATAACTGACATAGACGCCAGTTGACACAAAAAAAGGGAGTGACCCATTCTTGGATTGGTCGATTGCTCGATTGGAGTAGATGAATGTTTCGCTTCAAGATTTTTAGTTTACGTTTTTTAGTAGTTGAACTGGGCCATAATTTATTAACTGCGTTTTCTTTTTGGTTATCGTCAACTTGTCTGATGAATAAATTTTAATTTCATTATTAAAGGTCAATATGAGATGATTCAACGTGGCCCAGAAAGAAATTTATTTAAATCGTCCGCAAAGTAAAATCAACTATTTGCGTGATGCTAGGTAAGTCATTTTTATAGATCAGGAAAAGCAGCGAGCATGAATGTTCCCCGCGGTACACCCAATGCTAACTAGCCATGGCAAGATTTTTTATCATTCATGATAGTATATTGATATCTATCATTCAAATAGCATGTAATCAACTTAAGGACCGACCCTCGAAAAACCATGCCATTCCATTTTCTTTAACATTGAATGGTCAATACAAACACACAAAAATATCGACGCACACACACACATACATATATCACACACACGCACACACACACACACGCACATGCATGCATATATCGACGTTTTGCTTTTCTTTATCAAACTTTATGAATTAATAAAATAGGTGAAGTAAACAATGCTCGAATGCGATGAATGATTGAGCGTGCATGAATTAATGAATGTATAAAGGCATGAGTGGATGAATGAATGGATGCATGAATGCATGAACGAACGAACGTACGAACGAATGAACAGGCAAATGAAAAATAAGCAGTAAATACATACAAACGAACGTAACTTGAAAATTGAAAAATATCTCAATACAATGAAAAATAACTATTAACTGAAGAAACTGCGGTGGTAAATAATGTAGAAATAAAATGAAATCACAGATGCTGTTGATAGTTATTTTATGTTGTTGTTATTGTTGTCCTGTTGTTGTTGCTACTGCTTGTTGTTACTTTGATTAATGTTGTTGTTTTCATTCTTGTTATTGATGTTTTTTGTGGGTTGATGTTAATGTTATCACGCAAAGATAATAACGAGATATAACATTCTAGATCAATGATCTACACATACATACATACATACATACATACATACATACATACATACATACATACATACATACATACATACATACATACATACATACATACATACATACATACATACATACATACATACATACATACATACATACATACATACATACATACATACATACATACATACATACATACATACATACATACATACATACATACATACATACATACATACATACATACATACATACATACATACATACATACATACATACATACATACATACATACATACATACATACATACATACATACATACATACATACATACATACATACATACATAAACATACGTCGTCGTAATCTCACCATTTTTTGGTCCGGCTATTGACAGTGCGCAGTTTTGTTGCATTAATTCGTTTTGAGTTGTGGTTTCAAATAAAAATTTAGTTTTTCTAGTTAATATTTGGATTAAATTCACTAAGAAATATTGAAAAGTTTGTCGTTGAATTTTTCGAATAAAATATAACAAAAGGCAAGCTTAGAAGTAAGAAACATATGTAATTACGTTCAAACAATTACTTTCACGTACACACACACACGCGCACACGCACACACACAATGAGAGAATGAAAAAAATGAATGATTAAAAGAACACCAATTATTTTATTGTCTTAACTGGTATTTACCAAAAGTAATTGTTGTATTACAATACAAATAGGCATATATGCGTTTGTCTTTGTGTGTTTGTATGTGTGTGCGTGCGTTTCAGTACGTAGGTGCGTGTGTTTCAGTACGTGTGTGCGTGTGTTTCAGTATGTGTGTTTCAGTATGTGCGTTTCAGTATGTGTTTTTCAGTATGTGTGCGCGCGTGTGTGTGTAAGTTTATGTGTGGTGTGCGTGTTGTGAATATTGTTAACAGTCATTAGATGAAAACGCGAGAAAGCTCGGACGGAGTGTAAAAAATTAAAAAGAATCACAGTTTGGTGTTGCCATCGTTAATAATCAGGTATGTTTTTTCAAAGGCGACAAACATGGGATGAAAGCAACGTCCTGAAATAGCACTGAGTTGTCAAACCAGTATGCCAACAACACATACATGCATATATACAAACAAAATTTAATGCTTGTTTTGTATTGATTTAGTGTTAACTAATGATAATTTATGTTAATTAATTCCTCTGCGTACAACACTATACTGCTACATTACATTACCTTTGCAGATAACAACGATGTCAGGATCAGTCAAGTGTCTTCAAGTCTTCGTTGCCCTGCTATGCATCGTACAATTTGTGAGTTTGTGTGCGTGTGTTTACGTTTGCGCGTGTATGTCCATGTGCTTGTGTGCATGTCTGTGCATGTGTGTGTGTGTTTGGTTTTGCAATTTGTAATATTGTTATTGTTTGTTTTTGAGCAGCGTTGCTAATGTTAACGGGTAGATATGTTTGCTGAGAATTTTTTTTATTTCAGAAAAAAGACCGAATGAATGAGTGCTTGAATAAATGAATAAATGAATGAATAAATAAATGACTAAATAACTCTTTCTCTCTCTCTCTGTCTTTCTCCATCTCTCTCTACCTATATATATATATATCTCTCTCCCTCTCTCTCTCATGTTGAAGTTATTACATCTATAACAACACGACACCCGCATACATACAACGTGTAACAGATGTCTGAGAATATGAACAAAGGGTACGAAAACGGAAATATATCGATTGTATCAATGGATTCAGTAAACCCATTTTGAATTGTATTGTCGAAAGAAATTTCTTAAAATTTTATGAATCTTTCTTGATTTAAGAACTCAAATGGGGTTCGATGTGTTTACAGACATTTTTACGTGCACTGTTTGCGTCTGCCGTGATGATGTTTCTAAATAATTTTGAAGAGGAAATCTAAAAATAAAAATCAACTATAATTCTTTTCTAGTACATTCATTTTCATAAAAGCAAATAATTTCAACAACTTAAGATAAACGTTAGTTTTCTGCCGTTAACACTGTTAATCAATGATATTAAATAAAAATATAATAATTGTTTATCACCATCACTTCCACCATCATCATAGCTGACAGTGATAGTAGTAATGACCGAGTGACATAGGAGGACCATGACCGTCTTCTCGTTCTCACTTCTTTTGACCTCCTGTTAAATAATCTTGTGCCAAATCTGCGATTGCTCTTTCTGTTCCTTTTTCTCTGAAACTCTCTACTACCTCCTTCTCTGACTACTTCTCTATCGCTTACGAAGTTCAGAGCGGATTTCATGACCCCTCTGTTTAAATTAAACAATTCTCTTAAAAACATTGTTAAACGGAAATAGCGCTTTATAAATTAAATGATTGATTGATTTTTATCATCACTACCATCATTATCATCCTTATCACTACCATAATCATCAACATCACCACCACCACCACCCCCACAACCCCCACCATCACCATCAGGTCCTTGGAATTGTCTTCCTTATTCTGGGAGGCATGGCGTATAACAAGTCGGGAGCGGGTTTGAATGCACACTCGGCCGCCATATTTTTGTTGGCCGTTGGCTGTTTCATCGTTTTAGTGGCCCTGTTTGGTCTGTGCGGCGCCATCGCTAAGAACTCCTGCCTCTTGATCGTCGTCAGTTTTTTTTTGTTGTTTATTTTTGATTTTTAATTAGTGATTTAATAATAATAATATTTAACGATATTTAATATTCATCTATCTATTCATCCATCCATCCATCCATCCATCCACTCCACAGTTCTGCATCTGCATGTCGATCAGTTTGGCTCTCAGCATAATTGTTCTCATCATTGGATTTGCCGCTCCGGACAAAGTTAGTTTCGTTTTCCTTCTTCTTTTTTTTTCTCTTTACTTGTAAGTAAAGAGAAAAAATTACTAAACCACACACGCACACACACACGCACACACACACACGCACACATATACATACACACACACACTCACAGTTTGTTGATTCAGCTAGCTGGCACTTCAATGAGTCCATGAACAACTACAATAACGATAATGCAAGTAGGTCCACGGTTGACATCTTCCAAATCACTGTTAGTAAATAATAATAGGAACTCGTTTTAATGAACTTCAAAATCAAATATCATATTTTATAAAGGCCCTTAATTTACATAAGAGTGTAAGGATGATAGAAATGATAGAAGATATAGTTCATGCGACGAATTAACCACACGCACTTCATTAAGCTATCTTCAAATTGTCTGACCAGGATTAATTATAAATTAGTTAATGGCAATTTCAAAGGATTATTAAAACCGACAGGACTAATGGTTCAGTTAAAATATCTTTTATAAGATTGTTTCCATTTTATAAAGTTTAAATTCGGTGATGTTTGTATCGTGGCAAACCGTTAGCTCGAGAATCTCGACCGCATCATTGCTGACTATGGCAATGTCGGGACGGAGCGAGTTGAACAAGTGGGATGCTGGGCGGATAGATCCGTTATCTAGATCGGGCCTGGCACATGATTATAGGTGGCCGACGATATGGCTGGGAATGTTGTTGGGCCGCTCCAAATGTCTTGTCACTGCCGGTTAAGCCGCAATTTGACAGTACATGCTTGTTCGTTTGCTCTGTATTACATAGGGGGCATAACTCATTTGTTGTTATCTCCCATTTGTGCAAGTTTGAGTTTGTTGGTAGCTGTTGTATTAAATATTCTCTTGTAAATTTGAATGGGATCTTCGGTGCTTTTCTCGTTGAACTGAACCATCGAGTAATCTCTAAGACATTGATGTGAAATTGTTCTTGGATGGTTTTTGACGTCTTTCATCAAATGTGCCGGTAGTTCAATAATGAAACATTGATGCTGGTAAGATGGTGTTGGTAATGAGGACAGCAATTATTCACATTATTGTTATTATTATTGTCATGCTGCATAATGATGATGATGATGTTATAAACCACCAAGACCCAGTGTTGTGGCTACGACGACGTCAAAGATTGGGAATCGAACCCGAACTTCAAAGGCGGGAAGTTGCCGATCAGCTGTTGCAGCAACTCTACCTTCACGGCTACTGCGTGTAGTACTACATCTTCGGATGGGTATCACCAAATGGTTAGATTATGGTGATGATGCTTTACTTGATGATGATGATGCCGCTGATGATGATGAGGATGGTGGTGTTAATAATGCGATTTACGAATGTAACTTTTTAAATGAATTTTAAATATTTGTTATATTTTTTTTCAAAATCAGTAAAGTAAATTTCAAAAATTATTACATGCATTCAAAATTATCGCTATCATCTTCATCATCACAACCATCATCATCCTCTTCATCGCCATCATCATTTCGAAATTATAACAACCATTCAATGGTAAATTTGATATTATCTCACAAGTTTTATGTAAATACAAATAATCATTGATTAGAATGCAATGCCGCTTCTACACTTTCTGTCAATTTTCTTGTACTTGGATCAGCATATAACAAAATCTTCTCAATTTGTTATTAAAATAATAAAAAATCATTGTAAATTTACTTATTGAGCATTCTATAAGTCTCAAATTAACGTTCGACTGCTAGCTAAAAACGGCGACTAACAGGTCTAGAACGAACGAACGAACGAACGAATGAATGAATGAATGAACGAATGAATGAATAAAAGAAGGAATAAACGAAAAATTAATATGAATAAATATGCACAATCAACATCAAACTAGGTCTGTCGAGATGTAATTGAGATTGTATTGAAAGGCATGCTTTATGGCTTCGGCATCATCGCTGCCATAACTGCCATTGCCTTGGTTAGTATTATTATTACTACAAGTTGTTGTTTTATAGTAGTGTAATGGTTAAGGTGTCTGGCACTACTTTTGCTGTCACCGCGTTTGAATACAAAGAGATCCAAGCCCATCACAGGCAATGTACGTGATGTATGTGTTAATCAATTGAATAACCATTTGCTATTATTAATTTACAGAAAATATCTTTATTTGTAGTTATATTATAATAGTACTATTAGTACTTTATTAGAAGTATTTTTTTTTTTAGTATTAATTTTATAAAACAAAATATTAAATTTTTAAATTAAACAGTTCCTTACGTTGTTACTGGCGTCGATACTAACGAGCCAAATAAGGAAGGAATACAATCCGGTTTAAATCGCCTCTCAGTCAGTTGTTCGGTCGGTTTAGCGATTGATAAGAATTGATTGATTTAACCGATTTACCGAAATAACCGATCGACCGATTGAAAGATTGATTGATTGATATATTTAACTTGATTGAAAATTTATTTACTTATTACCAAATGAAAAAATTATTTCCAAGGTATCTTATGTTTTTAGTTGATGATTTTTCAATGATTTGGTGTGTAATTATTATTATTGTTATTATTATTGATGTTGTTGTTATTATTATTATTATGACGACAAAGGCGTAGAATGGATAATAATGAAATAATAATAATAATAATAATAATAATAATAATAATAATAATAATAATAATAATAATAATAATACTAATAATATAAGATTGATGAAGATGACTACGACGATGATGAGTTGTAACAATCGATATGAGATTTATCTTTATCATTAATGATAATAATATAGTAGTAGTTGCAACATATGTTATTATTATTATTATTATTATTGTTATTATTATTATTACTGCAATTGCAACACATGTTATCGACCAATGAATGTGAGATGAGCCTGAGTTTATTCACTCAACACGTCACAAACAAATATGGCGAAGGATAAATTTGTATAAATTAAGAAAATAAAGAATGAATAAATCATATATTCATTGTTTATATTTTTAATATGCATTTGTTTATTTGGCTTTAATTAAAATTTGATCATAAAAATCACGCCTAAATCGGCTTGTCTATGACCACAACAGCACCTAATGATGTAATAATGATTCTTTTTTTTTAATTAAAATAATTTTATGAACTTCTATAATAATAATAATAATTATTATAATCAATTATTGTTTTTTTTAATCTTTTTATTTACGCCCGGTTGTTCATACCTGATGAAAATTCAAGGCATGTAATATTATAAAAATAAGCATCTATTACCTATGCATACATAATTATCTATTCAAGTGTAAAACTTTTATCAAATAAACGTGGTCTTAAGGTGTTTATGAGTTTTTTAGCTTTTCACATACACACCACACACACCGCACACGCACACACACGCACACACACATAATTAATAACGTTGTTGTTGTTGTGCTATGTCTGACACGAGTCTATTTGTTCAGCCGAGGCTGTCTCTATAGCCAGACTGCAACACCTAAGCATGATTTTTCCAAAGGTCTACAGTGTTGAGAGTCAGGAGCGGCTCTAGACGAAAATTTTTGAAACTGTTTAAGTTTCAAAAATTCATGGTGGTGTGACAAAAATTTAGACTGGCGATCCTTTTTGTTTAAATTCTTTTGAATTCAACCACTCTAGTTGACAATTAGAAAGTGAAGATAATACATTTTTAAAAAATTTATTGCCTTTAAGTTGAGTGAATAACACAATTTGAAAGGACGGCGTAAATATTGCTTTAGATAATCATTTTGTGAGATCTCGAAGAAAATTGCTACAATGAAAAAAGGATAACTTTATTTTAAACAGACATGCTCACTTCAGATGAAATAATATTGACGTGAGGAGAACTTTGAAATGTTTAGGAACATGATTTGAAAAAAGTAACTTTGATCTTTCGTTCAGTCTATTTTTTTAGTTTGACATGTCTTGAAAATTTTCATATCGATATAGATTTAACAAGATAAACATTCAACTTAAAAAATGTTTATATACAACTTACATACTCTATACATGTATCTATATAAAGAGTTAGTAGAGGCAAAGTCTACATATCTATAGCCATATTTAATTGAATAACGAGTTGTTTATCAAAAAAAATATTAGTTATATGTTAAATAATAGTTGCGACTGCCAATGATGCCTTATTCATACCAAAAGTGAAACAAAACACTTTCTTGTCTTTAAAAGACTCGTTAAATTTTGATCATCACAAGCAGTACTTCTAATTTTGTAATAAAAACTGGAGTACATACGCTGTGTTAAATCATAAAGCATTCAGTGGAGGATATTTTTATGCTGCTAATGTAAACACAAACTGAAAAAGTAATACACGCACACACACACACATACGCACACACATACGCACACACACACACACGCACACATGCACACGCACGCACGCACGCACACACACACACTAAAAGAGTAATAGAACGTAGCATCTTCAGGCGTAAATAGGGAAGAAGATCAAAACATGAGCTAGCATTATTTACATACACATACGTCAGTATAATGTACATATGCACACGTACTATACCCTACCCTCTGTTAAATACAAAATACAACACAAAAATACACGCAATACACAAATTCTTAATTCTCATTTATAAGTTTACAGAGTTTGTTAATTTTTTTAATGGTTTTGATGTGAATATTCAATCTTCTTAATGAATGATAAACACGGTTATAAACCAAGTTTTATTTAGCTTTTGAAATTTGAAGAGGGAAGCTGATGAAATGTACCAAATTGTGGTTTTTCATTTTTAAAAATGTATACAAACAAATAAATATAGGCACATATATAGGCATAACATTTTTTCATGTGTTTGCAGTTGTATATAAACACATGTATAAATGTAAACTTTCGTGTACATAATTACATACAAACAGACTTGTTGAATCAGTTTGAAACATACCCATGCATACAAATGTACATCATATATATATATATATATATATATATATATATATATATATATATATATATATATATATATAGTTGTTTACAGAAGAATATAGTTGCAATTGCTGTGCCGTTGTTGAAAAAAAGTGATGCTGATCCAGGTGACGTCAGTAATTATCGACCAGTCAGTAATCTGTCATTTATATCAAAACTCATTGAAAGAATGGTGTCGAGACAATTGCTTGCTCATTTGAATGATAATAATCTCATGCCTGCACATCAATCCGGTTTCAGACGATTTAACTCCACTAAAACTGCCCTGCTGCATGTTCTCTCAGGGGTTTATGCTGAGATGGATGCTCAAAACATTTCCTTGTTGGCATTCTTGGACATGAGCTCGGCTTTCGGCTGTGTCAATCATGAAATGTTACTGCTCAGGCTGCATCAAAATTTTTGAATATCTGGGGAAATAATAAATTGGCTCAGAAGCTACTTGATTGGCCGAACACAGCAGGTTTCGTTCAATGGGAGTTTGTCCTACGTCAGTGTGGTTCGCTCTGGTGTGCCGCAGGGATCTGTTTTGGGTTCTTTAATGTTTCTGCTTTATACATCTGATGTGCTGAAGATAATTGATTCCTATGATTTTAAGAGCCATGCATATGCAGACGACATTCAAATTATGTTATCAGGTAAACCGAAGTTATTTCAAGACGAGATTACGAGATTCTTTAAATGTATGGCGGAGGTTAATCTGTGGATGTCGAGAAATGAATTGAAGCTTAACCAGGGTAAAACAAAATTTCTTCCTATTGGTACCTGGCAGCAGTTGGCAGACTTGAATATAAATTCAGTTGTTATGAATGATAAAAAAATAGATTTCTGTAAAGCAGTGTCGAACCTAGGTTTTATAATTGATTCAAACCTAACAATGAAATCTCATTTTAAAATGATCTCTACATCATGCTTGGCACAGATTAGAAGAATGAAACGAATTCGAGAATCACTTGATAAAGACGCAACGCAGACTCTGGCGCACGCGTTGGTGCACTCACGTGTCGATTATTGCAGTAGTTTATTTTATGGACTCCCGGCTAGATCCATCAAAATTCTGCAATCGATACAAAACCGTACTGCCTGGATTGTGGCTGGATGTCGATGGTATGATCATGCCACACCGATCCTGAGTGATTTGCATTGGTTGCCCATAAATAAAAGAATTGTTTTTAAAATCTCTGTCACAGTTTTCAAATCACTAAATGGTCTGGCTTCAAAATATTTATCAGATAAACTGAAATTAAAAACGTCAATCGTATCTGGTGTGCGTCTGAGGTCTGACGATTCGATCATTCTTGTGGTTCCTCATAGACAGCTAAAGATTGGATCGCGTGATTTTGCTGTGTCAGGCCCTGTCGTATGGAACGGCTTGCCGTCAGCCCTCAGAATGCTTGGAATGAACATTGCTGAATTTAAAAAACAATTAAAGACATACCTTTTTTATTATAGTTCACTTCTTTTCATTCTTGCTTTTTTGTTATTAATATTAGCTATAATTTGATAGCGTTTGTGAAAACTGCTATAACGAACGCTATATTAAGTTTTCTCTTAATAATAATGTTATAAATACAGCGCTCCATAATTATGACTATAATTATCTATGGTACGCCGTATTGTAAAATGTCTATGCATTGCAAAAGAAAGCTGTATAAAGGGGACGACATACGAAACGAAGAGATGTGTGTTTACAGAGAGTTACTAAGTGTGGCAAGTACGAGTTGAAGTGCGTGTGTTTCACAAATTGAGTTCGTCCGTTTACATGTGTGCGATTATAAAATAATTCATTCTGTAATTATTTGTCGATAGTTCGGCTTATCGTTCGAGTTGATTCGCAATTGTAAACAACCCCAGCGAATTTATAACAATAATAATAATATTAGTTATAAACATACAAACATGCATACCTACATCCAAAAAACACTTTACATCCATAAACAACGTATAGGGCATATAATAATTTAAATAGGGCATACAATGATAATCTAACCTGGTTATACATTGCAAAAAGTTTCCAGTACGTTGTTACGCACAAAACAGCATCAATGCTTATTTAAATGGGTTTATACATACATAAGGTATACATGCATACATAGGGTATACATACATACATAGGGTATACATACATACATAGGGTATACATACATACATACATAGGGTATACATACATACATACATACATACATACATACATACATACATACATACATACATACATACATACATACATACATACATACATACATACATACATACATACATACATACATACATACATACATACATACATACATACATACATACATACATACATACATACATACTCATACACACACATAAACACACACACACATATTTATATATAACATAATACATATGTTGACTTGGCATAGTGCTAAGTAAAAAACAGTCCTTGTAGTTTGTAGTTTTTGTTATCTTCTCGCTGCGGTCTTAATTATTTTTGAAGAGATTTTTCAAAAGTTAAGGTTTTTTTACTAAAATTTTTTGGTTGACTTTTCTAATTCAAAGTAATTTCAACTTTACTTAATAGCAAAATTAACTAGACTTTGATGAAGACTTTGATTGAGGGTTCACGATTGATTTACTACTTATTTTTTCGTTGTCTTTTGGAATATCTGGCATCCATAATAATATTTATATAATTAATTAATAAATTTTTTTATTTTGTCATCACAAAATTTAATTTGAAACAAGTTATGCTGAAAAGGGCATATATCAAATAGATATGTAGATAGATAGAATATAGATATGAGCTTATATCAAATAATTTTCCGCTACTACTACTACTGCTGCTGCTGCTGCTACTACTACTACTACTGCTGTTGCTACTACTACTAAGGATGCTGCAAATATATTATAATATAATATTCCATAATAATTATTTTCATAACTTAAAACAGCCAGAAGATGTCGGGCACAGTGAAATGTCTGCAAATTACAGTATCTATACTGTGCCTTTTGCTCTTGGTTAAACTTTTGATGAATAAGAATTTTTTTTTATAAATAGAATGTTATTTTTGACAAACAAAATATTATTTATGTTATATTCGATAGTTTTATTAATATTTAAAGTTGATTTTTTATGATAAATGATGACTGTAGCGTTTAATGGTGCCTACCTTTTGTTAACCATTTCAAAATTCATCTCCATATTTAGTTTATTTTCATAGGGTTAAATATGTTCAGATATGTTCAAATATACTCAAATATGTTCTTTAATGTTATACATTCGTTTCCAGGTTTTCAAATTTAAAAAAAATTTTTTTTTTCATCAGTATAGTTTTATAAATTAAAAATCTTAATAAATTTAATGATTCCTTCAGTTTGCAATTACGCTCAAAGTTTGGATTTTTAAAAAAATCAATTCTTTAATAAATACCTTTTTCTGTTAGGAGTTTAATATTAGAGAGTAGTGAATAATTTTAAAACATCAAGCGAAAAAGATATAATTTTTCTGATCTTTTTGTGAAAAGTTGTATCTAATTTGAGGCAAATCTCTGTCGCAGGCTCTAGGCATAACGATCTTAGTCCGTGCTGTTATGGACTACCAGGAAGTTCCGGAAAA